TCATTTTATTTTATGCTATGGAGAATCTGTGGTTGAGGTATGTTGATATTAGAGATTGCTGTCTCCTTGCCATGTTGTCATTAAATGAACATACTTGCAATTTCAAGTTACTCTATAGAGTAAAGACTCAGTTTGATTATACTTGGTGGACTGAGAGTATTGAATTTGGAAGTGATGAAAAGTTTTTATGGGGCTTTAATCAAGATTATAAATTGTGGTGTTGTTTTACTTATATTGTAAAAGACAGTTGGGGACTTTCAAAGAAGCAGTAGACCAGTGTCATTAAGTCCAGTTAGAGGCCTGATCAATGATTCAGGAAGCATGTTTTGCGAGAAGAAGCCTCTCTTACGCACTGATGGTTTGCAGACTTCAATTAAGCCAGAAATGTGGAGAGTTTGGAGCATGCAGAGGGCTGGATTGTCGGATGCCGAATTTGAGGGTAGGCCTTCTGCGAACTGTCTTTAATGTGACATAGTAAGAACAATATAACTCCGTTTAATTATTAAATGCACAGCTGCCGAGATTAATTCCAAGGAATTGCATGGAACTACTGATGTATCAGAAGGTCAAGAACTAAGAGGGAGTTCTGGGGAGTCTTTGAGCAGAAGGGAAGAACTGAACTCTTCTTATAAAGAGATCAATTGCAATGACATACGGAACCGCCTACAGCACCTGCAGTTCGAGTTATCTTCTGTGCTTGAAACATTGAGGTCTAATGTTGATGAAGTTGTGTCACTGAGGGTAATTGATCTTATCCTCTTCTTTCTTTTTTTCTTCCCTGTGGATGAATTAATTTGCTTCTATTTGCTAATACTTAAAAAAGAGTAATGAAACTAATTTTGGGAGCCTCTTTGAGTGTGGTGAAAAATTTATTTTCCTTTGATAACACTTAAAGAAGAATAGTATAGAAAATGACAATAGCAATGCGGCTTCAGTTGTATCCTATAGGTTCATGAGTGGGATCATAACTTGTGCATGTTCTCTTTCTTAATCATTTCATGTGCCTTTCTGACAAAATATTATGTATAAAATTGGTCCACACCTTTAGCATGACTTTGTAGCTTTTATCTTATTGATGTACCTCTCTGCTTAATCATCAATTGGTCTAAAATAGCAGCTTATTCCCTTCATGAATGACATGGCACTGCAACTTCATGCATTAAAATGGAAAGAGAAGCGAGCTTTAGCACTCTGTACTCACGTTTTTAAGTGATTTAAGTAACAACTATGCATCTTATGGGGAGA